AAGGGAACCCCTGGCCCTGGAGAGGGTCTGCTGCTGATCCCACCTCCGCCCATCATTTTTATCCATGCACTTTTGACATGGGAGTTCTAGTTCATTTAAAAGTTAAGCCAGGCATGATGGCACACGCCTGTGATCCCAGCACTCAAGAGGATAAGACAGGAAAATCAACACAAGTCCAAGGCCAGCCTGGGCTACACGGCGAATTCAAGGCCAGTGAATTCAACTGCACACTGAAACCCTGCCTCAAAATAAAATAAAGTTTTAATAAAATAAAAATGCTGTTTTGACAAAGTCCTCCCACAAATAATCTGTAAATTTTATGAGAAGGCTGAACTAATTTTAAACGCAAAAAAAAAGGCATACGAAGGAAAAATGAGATGCATTTTTACCTAATAATTTTAACTTACTTTAGTGTATAAAATCTAGTTTAAAAAAAAAAAAAAAAAAAAAAATACACTATTTTAGCCAAGGAGGACAGCAAAATAGGTTACTGTAAGGCCTAAAAATACAAAGTTGACTGAAACTACATGTAAAATTAACTCGTGAAGAGAAAAGTACAAATGGTCAACAACTATGAGAAATGTTGGATAAAGAAACGAATTAGCCAGGTGTGGTGGTGCACTCCTGTAATCTCAGCACTTGGGAGGCCGAGGCAGGAGGATTGTTGCAAGTTCGAGACCAGCCTGGGCTACAAAGTGAGCTCAAGACCAGCCTAAACTGCATAGCGAGACCCTGTCTCAAAAAGATGAAAAAAGAAAAAAGAAATTAAAAAAAAGAAATGAATTAAAACATATTACCATTTTTATTCTAAGTGGCAAAGACAAGCCAAAACTTTAACACACAGCTTGGAGGGGCACAGAGACGCACATTTCGAGGAAGTCCTGCTGGGAAGAGGAACAGTATGAGCTCTATGGCCAGTCTGGCCATGCTGTGCCAAGGGCCTTTTGTTCTTACAGACTCGTGTTGATGTGTCTGATCCTAAGAACAGACGGTGCTGGGTTATTGCTGCCGCATCTTAGCCCTGCCAGGGGTGGCACCCAAGAAGGCGAGAAGGCAGGGGACACAAGACACTTCTCCTCCACACCAGAGCTCCTCCCAGCATGAGCAGAACAGTGACATCTAGGGCTAACATTTAGCTGTCCTGAAGCTTCGCTTTGTTCTGTTGAAGACAATCAGACGCCTCTCCAGCTCCAGCTCATCTGCACCGTTCTCCCTTCATCTCTGCCTAAAAATCTCTCCTCCCTCTCACATGTCTCGTCTTACCTCCCTAGAAGTATAAACCCACCTCTTTACGGCACTGGTCTTGGCCTTCAAGAGGAAGGTCCTTCTCTAATGTGGACCTAATGTATTCACATCACTCAAACCACAAAGGCTCCCATCTGTTGGGTGACTCAGGTCATGGAGCAGTCCCCACTGACTGTTCTATCGGGCGTGCAGTGCCAACATGATGTGGAATCTGGGAATCGCTACCGGCACGGATGAAAGCCAGGCCCAATGCACCCTGTCCATTCTGCACGTGTAAGCCACGTGCCAGGCTCGCAGCTGGCTCCGAGGTGAGGACCAAAGCCCACACTGGGCCTGCCTCTGGGAGAACATGCCAGATGAAGGCAGGCTGCACACACTGCTGCAGCGCTCCGGCCTGGGGAGTGACAGGTTCCACAACCAGATGAGGAAACACCGGGAGCTCGGAAGGTCACAAAGCATGAATTTTATACAAAGAAAGTCACAGTAGCACCAGCAGCCCCAGGACACAGAAGTGACTGACTCCATAAGGGAGGAGGAGCCCCGGGCCACAGGCATCCAAACGCTCCCAGTCGCTCCCTGTTCCAGCTTCCCTCCGAGCCTCTCCTCTCTAGTGGGCGTGTTTCCAGGGAACCTCAGTTTCCATCCTTCTCTTGTCCTTCCCACACATCTCAAAGGAAAAGGCAGTTCTCACAATACTAACACCACCTGAAACACGTGGAGCAGGGAATCACCGAAGCCAGCCCAATACTAACACCACCCAAAATACATGGGGGCGCATCACCGAAGCCAGACCGAAAAGGAGGCCCGGAGGCCAAGGCTCCCGCAGGCAGCTCGGGTCTGAGACAACCACTTGGCGCTCCAGACACAGCCCCCACCGAGACAGCGCCAGTCAGCTCCTCCTTAGACTGGCTGGCGGAGCTCTTCGAGCCATTCCTATAGTAGCAGAAGCATACACACGGCCATGCTATTTTCTCTGTAATTTTTTTTTTGGTCAGGGGAGTTCAAACAGGGTGACAAGGGTCTCTTAAAAGTGCATACTTTTGGGGCCACAGATCTATCTCGGTGGCACAAGTGCCTGCCTCGCAAACGCAAGGTCCTGAGTTTGATTCCCAGTACAAAAAAAAAAAGTGCATACCTTTTACCTCATTTCACTCTAAGAATTTACACTATGGAAACATTCAGAAATACACAAAAGGCCTTTGGTACAACTATGCATCACAACACTATATATGACAGGACAAAATGGAATGTTCAATAGTAAAGATGGACTAAATACTTATTTACACAGTGGGACATGATCCAACATTAATAAAATTTAGAAAGTACTAAGTGAAAAAAGTTAAAAAACTGTACTTTATGAAATTTATTTGGTAGGAATGATATAAACCAAAATATATTGCTAGGTATCTATGGATAATAAGAACAGAGGTGGTTTTATAGCCAGACATAGTGGTGCATCCCATGTACCCCAGCACTTGGGAGGCTGAAGCAGGGTTTTGAGTTCAAGGCCAGCCCAGACTACACAATGAGATCTGTCTCAAGAAACGAAACAAGGGGCCAGGGATAAAGCTCAGCGGCACAGAACCTGCTTGGCAAGCACAAAGTCCTAAATTGGACTCCTGATACAAAAAAATAGGTAAAAAAAAAAGGGCCGGGGATATAGCTCAGTGGCACAGTGTCTGCCTGGCAAGCACAAGGTCATGAGCTTGATTCCCAGTACCAAAAAAAAAAAAAAAGAAAGAAAGAAAGAAACCAAACAATAAAAAATGATAGGAGTGGTTTTAAATTTTCTAATTATATTCATATATTTTAAAATTTGTAAATTATGGAAATTAAGTAAAAATGTTCAAATTATCAAAAAACAAATAAAACTTTCAGGAAAATGATGTGTCATGGCTTATCTCCCTAAGAAGTCTTCATGACAGGTAATTCGAAGTAAATTCTTTCATAAATTCAAGAAATAACCAATCCTAAAGCTATACAGAATGTTCTAGAGCACATAAACTCATAGAAAATTACTAAATTTTTATGGTATCAGTTTAACTCATTAAACACAAGCTACCCACAAGAAAACCATACATGCCAACAAGAATATTCTAAACATAAAATCAGGGAGTAAGATTTAATATTACCAAGAACAAGTTATTATTAGAAAATATACAAATAACTAAAACCAAACTGACCATCGAAATGCCCTAAACACTCCAATGAAATTCAAAACCTGCTCCTATTAAAAAACACCAAAGAACAATCCCTGCCGGGCGTGGTGGCACACGCCTGTAATCTCAGCACTCGGGAGGCTGAGGCAGGAGGATCACTGTGAGTTTGAGGCCACTCTGAGCTACAAAGTGAACTCAAGGCCAGCCTGAACTACATAGCAAGACTCTGTCTCAAAGAGATGATAGATAGATAGATAGATAGATAGATAGATAGATAGACAGATAGATAGATAGATAGGGAATAAAATAAAATAACAATCCCTTCACACAGTTTAAAATGCCAACCAGCAAGTAAACAATAAAATTAATGCATAAAAAGTACAAATACTGTACTCCAGGTAAAATGAGGAATGAAAAGAGAACATCACTAAAGCATGACTTACTGGATAAGGGGCGAAGTGAAAGCAAAAGCAATTATATCAAGACATAATATGTAGAAATTTAAATGGAGCGAGAAAGCCTCGTTCACAGCAGCAACATCATCAATCAAGCCACAAATAGAGTAAGATAAAGCGAAGCTTTAAAGTACCTGAAACTAACACTAACCCAAAATGTCACATCCTACACATGAGGGAGTAAGTTATAAAAGAATAATTTTTAGATTAAGAAGCAAATGCTTTAGATCTAAATGAAACAGATTAATAACAAAAACATTTAAAGATTCTAGTGTTGCCATTACAGTCATTCCTTGCATAGGTAGATTCTAAAGTTAGCCTATGACACCAAAAAAATGTAGTCATATGAGAAAATGTAATACAGCCATTACATAATGATGCACGCTTAGATCAACAGGCGTAGAAAAATGTCCACCAAAAATTGTTAAGGGAGAAACACTATGAAAGACATCAGCGTATCTTAAATCAGTACATCTCAAGATGCTTGCAGTGAAGACCAAGATAAACAGTGGCAATCCCTGAGGGGTGCGAGCCACTGATTTTATGCTCTCAGACTCTCTTGCACAAAGTACTACAGAACTTTAGGGCTGGAGATGTACCTCAGCACCACATGTGAGGTCCCAGGTTCAATCCTCAGACTGGGTTGGGGGAGGAGATATACACATACATAAACACACACACACACACACACACACACACATATATATATATAGCTTTTATAAATTTGGAGAGAAAAAAAGGTTAAATGTAATAAAAAATACAACAAAGCATAGTTCTGTTTTCGAGATGCCTAAATTATGTTTGCTTTTCAACTTCTATACTTTTCTGCATTTTCCAAACAAAATTACAAAATCACAAAACTAAAAAAAAAAAAAAGCATTTGTACCAAACTGTTAAGATGAAAAAAACGATCATTTGGACTCACTGGGTCTTTTGTGTTTATATATGACAAATTCTCAGTTATTCTCGGGCCACAGTATTATTCTCAGGTTTACAGTCAAAATTTACCAAGAACCATTCTAATCAGAAAGAAAAATACAAGAAAGTATGAAAAAGTACAAAGTGCTTGCAAGCTCTATTCAAATCAAACAGGACAGCCAAGCCCGCCAAACAGCAAAAAAGGTGCGACTCCGACTCTTACCGTGAAGCTGTTGTTGACGTTTTTGGTGCTTGATTCGGCCACACTGGCATCTGTTAGGTCCACCTCATCAAATATGATAGACTGGAGAGAGAATCACGAGACTCAGGCACGCGAGACAGGCACCCCAAGTGCTGGCCACGCCCACCTTCCCCGCCCCAGCAAGCTCAGACTCCCTGAAACTGTGGCTACTGATCAGTAAGCCAATGCCAAACCGCTGCACAACTCACAGGGATATTTGCATGGTTTCTTTTACCACAGGAGTTCATCAGTGATGGCATTGGTAGAAAGAAACACAAAAATTTAAAAACTAATGCTCATACTTCTGTTTTTTGTATCCAACATTACTTTAAAACCTGTATTTCACATGTAAATATAACTGTGTCCTGCGCAGTCCACCTGAGAGAAAGCCCCAGGCAAACAGGATTCTGTCTTTCCTGTGGCTTTAGTTCCCCAGCCAGCACATTTAGAGTTAAAATAAATTATTCAAAGAGAGACACAGCCCCTCAACAGCAGGGTGGAACACCTGGGAGCCCAGCAGGAGCTCTCTCATCCCAAAGTGACAGCTTTGGGCTCCATACAAGGCTTGAGAACAAGGCCATGGAGACCCTGCTTTCCTCTCCTCTTTCTCCCAAGTGGCCACATCACAGCCCCTCCTGTTCACCTCACCATTCTCTCTGTTCTAAGATGACTCTATCAAAACTCCTGCAGGAAAAACTAGTAACTAAAAGAAGAGACTCAACCTTTTTTCTCTGAGGTTCAACCTTTTAAGTAACCTATGGTCAGACCCCTCTCTAAACAAGCTGCATTGTTCCCTTTCAATTTTAGCCACTAACTCTCCAGGGATGTGTTTCAAATATGTAAATGATTCAGATACCATGCATTTTCAAAACCAAGTTATCAGTACTGCCACCAATACTGCTAAGAAACTACAGATGTTCGGATCCCGGTCGCCACACTTTGAAATGCCTGGCACCATACGCATAGAGCGGCAGCATAAAAGCCTCTCCTCCAGCTGCATTTGGCCCGAGGAAGCTACCTAAGCACTGGAAAGCCTAGAAGCAATGAACTCTGTCTTTCTGTCCGTGACCCTTTTCTGCTTTCCCCACTGGTGTTAAATGACAATAGAGAAAAATGAAAAAAAAATTTTTACAAGAAGTAAAACATGCCTTGAGACAAATAAAACCTGACACCTCTGTAATACCCCGAGTATTAGAGAACTAGCTGGAAGTAACAGTCTATGAATCGGAGCGCCCCACACTCCCGCCTGCCCTCGAGGACTCAGTCCCCACACTGCGGCCCTGGGATGTCCCTCTCACTGGGCCTCACCTTTGCAGTTTTGGCGTAGTACAGCGTCCGCCCTCGAAGTTTAAAGTATCTCCTTTTTGATCGCTGGAATGAATTGTTCTGTTTGGTCAGCATCCCTTCTTTGATGATGGTCTGAAAGTACAGAAACAGACCCATGAATATGTGCTCTGAAGGTACTTTTTTGCCATCAGCTGAAACTCGTCCTGCTGGGGCCAGGCACTCTTGCGTCTTGTGTCTCCAAGGGGCCAAGCAGCGCACCAGAGCAATGGTTCTCACACTCACACAGCCCGTGACCCACTCACAGGCGGAGACTGCTGCTGAGGGGTGGGGGCGGGGGCAGGGGCGGGACACCAACTCGGACAGGTAACAGCACACCTCTGCTAGGGAGGGTGGCAGAGCCACTAGGAGAGCCCTGGATATGCCAGCCAACTAACAGAGGGGAAACTGAGGCTCAGGAGACTGCAGTAAGTGGCAGCTGCGAGGACAAGGGGATATGAGGCCAGCACATTCCCCAACTTTAGCATTTGGTATTTTTCAGCTATTCTTGGCCCTGTCTCCATGCTCTCTGGCCTCCTGCCATTTCTCAGGATCCTGCTGCCAAATCTTCTATGTCCGTTGCTCCAGGGTTAAGCACAGCTCCAGGCCTGCACTCTACTACATTGCCTCCATAGTTCACAGGCTGGCACAGACATTTGTGTCCGATGAGACGGAAGTGCCATGGTCCCACTGACATACATCTCCTCCACTAGCACTGATGAGTCACCACACACAGAGGGGGGAAGGAGGGGAGGGCCGCCCTTACCTCTGCAGAGAATCCAGAACTCACCCTGGCTCAATCACAGCAAGAACAGAGGGACATGGCTTCTCTGGAGCTGTCCTCCTCTTGTATGTCCCGGGTACAGTACTCCTAAGGGACACTGACCCTGCACACTACTTGGCAGTCAAACACTCAAGAAACTACTCCATCACCAGACATTCCGAAGCCACTAACAAGTGAAACTAACAAACAAGGGGCAGGGATGTGGCTCACTGGATGGCACTTGCATAGCATGTGTGAGACCCTAGGTCCCAGCCCAGGCACCACAGGAGGGAAAAAATAAAGTAATAAATACACAGTAGATCCAGACCCTGGCTCTCAGCATTTGATACTTTCTTTTTTTTTTCTTTCGTTATCCATTTTCTTTTTTTTGGTTTTTCTCCGGTACCAGGAACCGAACTCACGACCTTGCGCTGGCCAGGCAGGCGCTTTTGCCGCTGACCTAAATCCCCAGCCCCTCGTTATCCATTTTCGATTCCCAAAAAATCTGCAAGAATTTTGCTCAAGGTAGTTTTAATCGCAGGCCAGGACACCGGGATGCAGCGTGCACGTTGTGGCGGTTCCTCCAGGGTCGGGCGGGCCTGATACTTTCTTATACTGCAAATAGCCACAACACCTATGCCACAAGGAATCTCAGCGTGGAAAAGGGGAAATTTTCTAAAAGTCCTACCCAGGACAAGCACACTAGTTCAGAGAAGTAGCTGCTTAAAACTACCTATTCTTACAATAGCTCTGCACTGTAAGTCACTTTTAAAAACACCTGTGCGAAGTACCTAAGTTTCAGAGTCCACTTAAAATTTCCTAAAATGAAATCTGTGTGAACCACACACAGAAACTCATGTACCCAAAGGTGCCAGGCTCCAAGTGTAGCACATTAGCTCATGCAGACCTTCATCCTGCTCATCACAGGGATGGCCTGGGTAAGCAGGCAAGGATGCAGGAGCATGCCCAGCCACACCCATCAAACACACGGGGCCCAGAGAGCACCCACAGCCAGCACCCAGGCCCCGGGGTCTCCTCTCCTACACCGCAGGACATGCTCGCTGGACTGGGTGCTCACACACACTGGCACCCACCCCCATTTCCACAAGGCTCCCCTCATGCTAGGCCCACTAAAACGAGGTCTGGGCTCTGCGCCTGCCAGTCACTGCTACCACCAGCTGCTCTTTCCACGGCCCTCAAACAAGAGCAACCTGAGGAAGACCTGCTCTGGCTTCCGCCTTCCCCTGCACTGTGCAGAGGTCTCCTGCCCTCTCCCCAGGTAGCAAGAGTGCCAGGAAGACCAGCAGAGCCTAACAGTATCCAGGGAAGATATATGCACATCAGGCTTCAGCCGCTAGCAGGCAGGTCCTGTGCTGAATCAGAACAAGGACAGCATGAAGCAGTCTGCAGTGTAAGAGAGCTGGCACCAGGGTCTGGTCTGAGCACCTTTCCTATCTCCACAGCCACGGATGCCTCGGCCATGCTCCCGAGCCCCGCCCTCTGCAGATCCCTACATGGACACCTCTTCACCCTCACTCACCTTCCTTACCTCCGCAGGGAAAGAAATCGCTTCCATCTCTCTCCTACATGCAATTTTTAAAAAAAAAAGACCACAAAACCAAGAAGCCAAACAGAGAAATTGGAAGTTATCTTTAACTGGCAGATGCCAGAGTATTTTTTTCTTGCATCTCCTGCCCATCTAATATGTAAAAGAAAAAGCAAAATTAAAACACATTTCACTCCAATGTGTGTGTGCACACACACAACACGATCTTTCAAAAGCGGATGAGAGCTTGCGATCTCAGGCTGCCCAAAGAGACCTGCTAGTCTATTTATAGAACAAGTGTGCTCAGAAAAGACTCTGGTGGGTTTTAGCGGAAAAGGCTGGGGAAAAGATAAAGACCAGTATTTCTTTGAAGCTTTCTCAGAAACTGCATTTCTTCTGATTTACTGCTCCCAAATACTATAGATAGGCAGCAGCATATTTTTAAACATTTAGTCAAACACGACAAACTAAAAGTGGTCAAGAAAATCACACCCTGAAACCATTTGCCGTGTCACACGCTGGGAGGCCCTTACGAGGCACTGCAGGAAACACTACAGGGCTGGCGACCTCGCCCACAGTGGAGTGGGCACAGGCCAGGTCGAGAGCTCGTATGCTCACTCAGTTCTGTACACAAACCAAAAGTTGACTCTGCTGTTCAAGCCACCTACATACCTTCATGATAGAGACAGAGTCATGACACACATAGGCGCTAAGGAGACACTCCGCCAGCAGTCAATGAACCCAGCAAGTGGGAAAGCCTGGCTCTGCCCTCCTCCAGCTGGAGGCAAGGAGAGGAATCTGAGGTGGGACCCGAGGCAGAAGAGAGCCTGAGCCTAAGCTGGCCCTCGGACCACAGCCATCAGACACTCACAGCCTGTCGCCCGAAATGGCACGGTACCTATGCAAGGTGTAGAGGGCTCCAGCACCCTCTGCTCCTCAAAAGGCTTCAAACCAGTGGGCAGATAGATAAAGCCCTTGTCAAACACACCGGCCAGGTGTCCCCTGAAGGGGGCCAGTGGGGATCCCATCACAGGGTGAGGCTTCCCCTCTCTTTCCTGCCTCTGTCTTCAAATACAGGCAGCATCTGAGACAGGAGCTCGGACCAAAGCACAGACGGGAACACACAGTGGCACTCAGGGACACAATAATGCCTCTCTATGGGAAGGTCAAAAATACCAGGCCTCAAGAGACACGAAGTACCTGAGCAGGGGGAATACAGAGGCTGTGGTGGTCATGGCTCCCAAGGCCCTTCGCTGTTCCTTGGGGTAAAGACAAAGCCCAGCAGCGCAGGGCAGGAAGAACAGTCTCGGATCGCTGCCCAGCCACTACAGCGGTCAGCATGGTGCCTCACGTGCCTACTTTAAAAAAAAGACAGGACAAAGATCCCAGATGACCCTAACACATCCAGCTCAGAGTGAGAGGACATGCAGAGTCAGGGACAGAGGACAGCCCAGGAAGACCTGTGTGGAGCTGGCATGGTTCATGGGCCTGAGGGGCAGGACGTTCCCCAAAGGAGTTGCCCGTACAAGGTCCCCTATCGAGGAGAGAGGGGGCAGGGAAGCCAGGACTGGGGACCGCACTGGCTCTGGCTCAGGAGCCAAAGGAGGAGGAGAGGAAGAAAGGACAGTGACAAGAAAGTGGCAGACACTAGGAGAGGGCGCACACTGAGAAGGTGGCATCAGGGCTATCAGGCAGAGCCTTGAAGTGGCAAATGAGGCCTAGAAGGCCACCAGATGCCCACCCCAGCAGACCGAGCGGTGGACAAGGCTCAAGCCATGGAAATCACACCGGGATGACCCAAAGCAAAAGGTGGAAGCAGAGATGGCAGGGTTTCTGACCTGCACGCTTAACTTCTCACCTATGTGCATTCACAGTACGCACATGTTAACACAAGCACCTTCAGGTGCTCATCCCCAGCCTCCCCTGCATCCCAACTTACAGCAAATTGCCAGAAGTAGAATTTGGGGAGCCAAGATAGCCAAGAAACAGACCTCGGCAGCCTGGAAGCCGGTGTGTGACAGAGGAGCCCATGCAGACCCCAAGGAGGGACTGCTGGATGGACAGGGTCAGGAGAGACCAACCAGGTCCTTACCTTGGGCACGAGAAGCACAAGGGAGTTTTGGACAGATTCTGGACATCATTCAAAAGGCAACATTTTAAATTTTCAGCAGACAATATAGAAGCTCTTTTTTTTTTTTTCCAAGATAAGGTCTCCCTCTGTTTTCAAGGCTGGCCTTGAACTCACTGTGTAGTTCAAGATGGCTTCAAACTCACAAGCAATTCCCCTGCCTCAGCCTCCTGAGTACTGGGATCACACACATGTGCCACCAGGCCCAGAAAGAAGCATTTCTTTATGACTGGAATTGAGAAAGGAATCTTAAATATGTTTGGAAAAAAAGAAAATAAGGGGCTGGGGATTTAGCTCAGTGGCACAGCACCTGCCTGGCAAGCGCAAGGTCATGAGTTCGATTCCCAGTACCAGAAAAAAAAACAAAAAAAGAAAAAAGAAGGCCAGGCGTGGTGGTTCACACCTGTAATCCCAGCACTCGGGAGGCTGAGGCAGGAGGATCATTGGGAGTTCGAGGCCAGCCTGGGCTACAAAGTGAGTTCAAGGCCAGCCTGAACTGCATAACAAGACCGTGTCTCTAGAAAAAAAAAAAAGAAAAGAAAAGAAAGTAAGACTGAGTTCAGTGGGCCCATCCTTTACTTTTCTACTGTAAATCTTTAGTGCAATAGGAGCCAGCTGTACATCTGATATCTTTCCCTGAGGGATACAGGAAGCAATCT